CCCTCGCGCGCAAAGCAAGCATCCACTGAACTGTTTGTTACACTGGTTGAATCACACCCCTGATCTGAATACAGTCGGTCAAGTTACAACCAGGGGTGGGATTCTACCAGTTCGCATCTATTCGCTAGAACCAGTTGTTAACATTCTAAGCAGTTCGGAGAACCGGTTGTTAGAAGAAAATTACTGGCCTAATCCTGTAAGGAAGGCAGGAAGGAAACATTCTGGTGTTGCTTACAGAAACTGCCTCTCCATTAACCCTTATTACATTCTTGGCAGGACTAGACTTCCTGTCTCAGGAATGTCTCTTGAGTATTTTTTTCCCCTCCGTTGCTGGTACTTTGCTTGGTGGAGTGACCATTCAAAGTTACAATGGCACTGGAAAAAGTGACTTATGACCGTTTTTCACACTTACAACTGTTGCAGCATCCCCACCGTCATGAGAGGCCAGGCGAAGAGATGTGTGCCTTGATGTGAGTGATATTGAGTTGGCCACACCCAGTCAACAACATGACCACCAAGTCATATCCACCCAGTCACATGACCACCAAGCCACGCCCACCACCTAAGCCACGCCCACAGAACCGGTTAAAATTTTTGAATCCCATCCCTGCTTACAACCACAATTGAGCCCAACAATTTCTGTTGTTAAGTGAAACATTAATGTTAATTGAGTTTTGCCCCATTTTCTGTTGTGATCTGCCGGCAGCCTGCAGAGACACAGAATCGGACAGTGGAGAAGAACATGGGCCAGTCCAGGACTCTGGGGAGGACTCGGATGGGGGTCCTGCGTCCGATACAGAGATGGGGTCAGGGCCATCTGGGAGTTATGTGCTGACTCCGGAGCCTCCAGAATCTGACAGCAGCGAGGTAGAGGAACAAGGGGAGCCTGTTCCCAGTGTGCGTGTGCACAAAGCTGCCAGAAGGCAAGAACAGTTAAGACAAAAGGGGCAACTTGGGAGTAAGGCTTGGAGGTGGTTGGCCTCTCCCATAAGATATAAAGGAAGTGCAAAGGGACAGGAACCTTTGCAGGAAGCAAAGCTGTTTGTTCTGTTCGGATTAAACCTTGAAGCTTTGTGTGGACTTTTGTGCTTCAGTTGTTTTTTTACAGTTAATTTGGCACTTTAGTTGTTGGCAGCAATTCAAAAGAGCTAAAGGTGGGTGCTTATCTCAAGAGACTGTTTGGGACTCATTACGGGCTGGGAATGCACATAATTCCCAGCGTTGAAATAAAACAATAGTTGTTTGGACTAAGCGTGTGCTTAATTACAGTCTCAGGAAGCCTTGGTCAGAACATTTTCTTGCCACTATTGTTAAGTGAATCACTGAGGTTCTTAAGTTAGAAACACAGTTGTTAAATGAATCTGGCTTCCCCATTAACTTTGCTGGTCAGGAGGTCCCAAAGGGTGACCATGTCAACCCTGAAGCTGGCCTGACCGAAGCCATTTTGTCCGCTTTAGTGTTGCCACACTGAAGTGGAGGGTCAGGGAGGTGGGATTTGAGGTAAGAGGGATTTTTGTAGCCAAAACAAAATACTTTCTCTTGGGAACCAAGTACATTCTCACACCTGGTCAGAAGATGCCATCCGGTTGTTGGACTGCATGGTTGATTGGACCATGTGATTGATGGTTTTGAGAAAGTAGAAAATCCTTTACTTTTAATAAGGTGAAAACCGTAGGAGTTTCAGAATCGGTTTTCACCAGACATGTGCCAATATATTTCCCCAAAAAAGTAAAGTTTGAGGCTCTCAATGGCCTCGGAGTCTTGCTTTCAATGGATTTATTACTTAGAACCCTGACAGACCACCAGATTGCTACGGTCATAAATATAAATCAGCTGCCATTTTGATCACGTGACCATGGGGATATCCTGCAATGCTCGTAAGCGTGAAAAACAGTTATAAGTCACTCCCCCCCCCCGCCCCAATCCTGTTGAAAATAAGGAATCTCTTCCTGAGCTGTTTTTCTCAGCAGCCTTGTCTCACAATTAGTTCCTGAAACTGACCGGGCCTTAATCAGTTTCACACTGGCTTTTGTTGTGGGGGAAATGAATGTTTTATCAGCATTTATTATCATTGAATAGAATAGGAATAGGAATAGGGTAGAATAGAAATAGAAATAGAAATAGAAATGAAATAATGAAATGAATAGAATAGAATAGAATAGAATAGAATAGAATAGAATAGAATTCTTCATTGGCCAAGTGTGACTGGACACACAAGGAATTTGCCAATGGTTGCTATCTAATAAGACAGTCAACAAACAGTATGGAGAATATCGTAACCTGAGTAATACAGGAATACGGTAAAGAGGTACAAATTTGGAACTGGCTCTCTGTACCTGTCCTGTGGAGAGTTTCCAGTATGAAGCCATGGTGTAGGAAATATCCATAAAAAGCTCAGGCACATGGAAGCCGTCTGCTATGGCCTCCATTTTCAGTCCAAGCAAATGGCAGTCGATGCCTTGTCCATCCAGAGCCTGCAAGACATCGCACAAAATCATGTCAGAGTATATTCATGAACCGGAATAGAGCACGGTAACAAGCTCAGTCAATGAACAGGCATAGCAACTAAGTCAGCCAATGAGGACTGTTTGGAAGCTAAAACTAGAAGTAGCCTAAGCGTGGCTCTATATTAAGCGCTGCAGTGCTAAAGTGAAAGAAAAACTAGCTTGCTTGCTTGCCTGCTGAACTAAAGTGATGTCTGTTTCTGAGCTCTCCTGAGTTACTGTTCTGCTCTGAACCTGCAACGTGTCTGCTTCTGTTTGAGTTTGCTCCATGCTGGAGAAATCTACCACTGGTACTGTAAAATTTACTTTACATGTTTATAAAGAAGTTAAATGAAGCCTCAGCCATCTGTGTTTACTTTTCTGGCGCTGAATTTACGCTGCAATACTCTGAACAAATCAGCTATCTCCGGAAGGCGGTTTGAACTCATACACAAAAAAAATCAGGGGTCTCCAAACTGACTGCAGCTCCCAGAAGTCGTGAAACCAACTGATAAGACTTCGGGCCAGTCACTTTTTTTTATCAGCCGTAAAAACCCAGCAATGGCAAACCATTTTTGGAAAATGTTGCTGCCAAGAAAAACGTTGCCAATTTCAAGGCTGACTTGAAGACGTTAAAAATAAATGTTCCTACCAAACATGCAGCAGAGAGATAAGTTACCTGCTCTGTCAGGGTGCTGTGGGATTCAACCGCTTGTTTCAGGAGAGATAATCTTTCAGGGGCCTGGTGAAGAAAAAGAGACATGGATTTTAAATACCAGAACGTTCAGACCATAACACCCGGAAGAATCTTCCAAGGACACACGGAAAGTCTCAACTGCTAACATACAGGTAGTCCTTGATTTATAACCCAATGCAGCCTGACATTTCTATTGCTAAGTGAGATGTTGGTTAAAGCAGGGGTCTCCAACCTCGGCCACTTTAAGACTTGTGGACTTCAACTCCCAGAATTCCTCAGCCAGCTTTGCTATGAATGTATGTAGAGGAATCTAAATGATGACATGAGTAGAGGCAGTCCTTGACTTACGGGTGGGTTTAGCGACTGTTCAAAGTTATGATGAACCTCTCGAGGGAGAGTTACGATCAAAATTTGAAGTTTTGATGGCTGCCGCCACCACCCTGCAGTCACATGTTCACATTTTGGGCACTGAGCAACCCACCCACATTTATGGACATTTACAGCATCCCGTAATCGTGGAACCGTGATTTTTTTTTTTTTTTTTTGCTGGAAATGGTTGTGTCAACTCATAAAATATTTCTATGGTCTTTTCAGAGTTGCCAACAGAAAGGGAGGGGGGAGCAATGGGCAGCTCGCGTTCCACAAAATGCTTTCAAAGATAGTAACTAGATGACCGAAGTTTCTGCTGCGCAAAATTCTAACTGGAGAGCATGACTGATGATTCTTGGCTATGGATGTGTCCCATTGGAGAATATGAATTACGATATACGCAGGGGGTGGAGAGAAAACCAGGGTCAAGGGTGACAATGAATGATGTGTCTCAGAGTTGGCTACATCCAGGCAGCGCTGGCATGTTTACTCCTAATAAATCTTCTTTAAATTTTGGAAGTTCGGCTAGAGACTCATGGTTTAAATGGGGGTAACTGTCGGAGCCCTGACAGCTAGCTGACTCTGACACACTTCATTCACTGTCACCCTTGACGGGTTGTTTACTTCTGGTCTTCAGCAAAAAACACCCTTTTCAGACAATGGATTTGATTAATGACCTCTTCATTCGCTTAACAACCACTGCATTTGCTTAATGACTGGCACAAAAAAGGTTGTAAAAACAGGCATGGCCATGTAGTGACCCATTTAATGACTAGCGTGACTTATGTCCCTAATCCTGGGTTCAATCACGGTTATTAAGTGAAGGACGATCTGTATTCTCAATTTCAAGCTGCATGGAAAAAGAGATTGTTGTAGATAACAAAGAGACTTTTCTATTTGTCCCAAAACCAAGATCCGAACAAGGCCAAGACTTCTTGAAGAGGAAAAATGGACCTCTCCACATAGAGAAACTCGCAGGATTAGCAGAACCAAATTCCACTCCATATGGCTAATCCAGAAATGCCTCTGAAGGCTCTCAAATATGCTAAGCAAACAAAATAGAATTTCTTTCAATAATTGGCGCTACCATTCCCTGCGTGGAATGGTCCTTCATTCTACTCAAGGACATGAGGATAAGAACCAACCTAAAACTTCCGGATAGTGAGAACAATTAATCCGTGGAACGATTTTTAAAAAGAGATTGGACAGCCGTTTGTCTGAAATGGTATCGGGCTGTAATGGCAAACCTATGCCAAGCGTGCTGGAAGTGGCATGCAGAACCATCTTTCTGGGCATGCCAGCCGTTGCCCGTTGCTCTTCTGGGTTCCCAGCGTGCGCATGCTGGTTTTTGCACATGGAAGAACAGGTCCCCAAGTCTGTCCACGTGGAGGAGTGCCGGAAACCGGAAGAACAGCTCCCCGGTGCGCATATGCGCACTGGCTACCTGGTCTTTGCACACGCATATCCATTAGAAACCGGAAGACCAGGTGGCCGGTGCTGAGCTTCCGGTTTCTGGCGCTCCCACTGGCAAGCTGCTCTTCCGGTTTCCGGCACACACACGCGCACTCCTGTTTCGGAACTCTGTGCCGAAAAGGTTCACCACCACTGCTTTTGGGTTTCTTGCCTGAGTAGGGTGGGAAGGGCAGGGTCAGGTCAACACCACTTTGGTAGGGGGAATCTGTGGTGGCCCAGGCAGGGCTGGGAGATCCATAGTCTTCCTTCCTTCCTTCCTTCCTTCCTTCCTTCCTTCCTTCCTTCCTTCCTCTCCCTCCCTCCCTTTCCTCGTTCCTTTCCTTCCTTCTGTCAGCTTTGGAAGCCATGTTAGCACCAAATGCTTCCACACTGCCGCATTCTTGAGCCTGGGAAAATGGGAGGGCAGAATTTCTTGGAGTGTATCTGATTAGACATAATAGCATTCTTCTTCTAAGTCAAGGTCATGTTATTTCTGCACCTGGGTGAGGGGAAGTCTCAAGTTGGGACGGATGGTGATTGGGGCATGTGATGCGATGATGGGTGCAGGCGGATGGATTTTGTAGTTTTTACTTATTGCAAGGAAACCCCGAACTTTCAGATTCGGGATTCCCCAGATGTGCCAGTTTACTACTCTTAATAAAAAGAATCTTGGAGAGGATGTCTGTCTTGGAGTTATTTGTTGGAGTGGAGGTTTTCTGGAATGCTGACACCTTCCTTCCTTCCTTCCCTCCCTCCTTTTTCCTTCTCTCTTCCTTCTCCTTTCTTCTTCAGAGGCACCGCAGGCCAGTCCTTCACTGTTTCCAGGGCAGCCTCATGCCGAGCCTGTCTCTCAGGCTTTGAGTTTGACACCCCTGGACTAGATGACCTCCAATGTCCCTTCCAACTCTGTCATTCTGGTTCAAATAATATGGGGACTTGATGAAGTGCGTTGTCACCTCAGCCTTAAAAAGAAAAGACAAAAAAGGTGGAAAGCTAAATACCTGGCACTTCTCGTCAGCCATTGCTTGGGCAAAGGCCAGCACAGCTGAGGTAGCAGAGCGTATGATTTCTGACCGGCCCTGATGGAAGCGACGAAGCGAGGCTGTCTCGGCGGTGGGACACAATTGCCCGTGTGCTCTGGGAGGGGGGAAAAGGTCAGTTGTAATACACACCCTGCGCGCACCGTCAGAACTGTGCCTCCTAGGTGACAAAACCCTACGTGGACAAAAGGAAACCCCCTCTCCCACTTTCCCACTGAAAAAAAGTTCAGTGGTTCCCAACCTTTTCTATGACCCCACATCCAGGGGTGGGCTTCAAAAAATTTAGCAAAGGGTTCTCTGCCTGGTTGCTGGGTGAGCGCGGCCTAGTCGGCCTCCTGCACCACGGGGTGTGTGTGAGGGTGGGGTGGGGGTGTTTTTGCCCTCCCCGCGCTCCGAAGGCTTTCCTTGAGCCTCTGGGAAGGTGAAAACAGACTCCCCGGGCTCCGGAGGCTCTCTGGAAGCCGGAAACGGGCTCATTTCCAGCCTTCCAGAACTTGCGGGAGGCCCGTTTTTCGCCCTCACTGAGCCTCCGTGTGCGCCCTGCACTTACCCGCCTCCAAAACGGGCCACGTGGGGAGTCCTGGGAGGGGAAGGGCCGGATGGGCAGGGCCAGCCAGAAGTGGGATTTGGACTGCACAGAACCTTAGTTAGGGGCTCTCCCGAGCGCACAGCAGCCTACCCCTGCCCACATCCCTAGAAAATGTTGCATTTTATTTACTTATCTGCAAGCAGTCCTGGACTTACAACCGCAGTTGAGCCCAACATTTCCAATGCAAAGCAAGGCAGTTGTTAAAGTGAGTTGCACCCCGTTTTATGACCCATTTTGCCAAAGTTGTTAAGCCAATTATACTGCAGTCGTTAAACGGATCGTGTGGTTATGAAGTGAATCTGGCTTCACCCCTTGATCTGACTTGTCGGAAACTAGCTGGGATGGTTACAAATGGGGATCATGTGATCCCGGGACTCACATAAAGCCAAGCACCCAAGTTTTGATCATTTGACTGTGGAGATGCTGCAGTGGTCGCAAGTGTGAAAAACAGCCATTAAGTCACTTATTTCACTGCTGTTGTAACTTTGAACATCACTAAACGAACAGCAATAGCAATAGCATTTAGACTTATATACCGCTTCACAGTGGACGCAGTAACTCAGTGGCTAAGATGCTGAGCTTGTCGATCAGAAAGGTTGGCAGTTCGGCAGTTCGAAACCCCAGCACCGCGTAATGGAGTGAGCTCCCGTTACTTGTCCCAGCTTCTGCCAACCTAGCAGTTCGAAAGCATGTAAAAAATGCAAGTAGAAAAATAGGGACCATTTTGGTGGGAAGGTAGCAGCGTTCCGTACGCCTTTGGCGTTTAGTCATGCCGGCCACATGACCACGGAGACGTCTTTGGACAGCACTGGCTCTTTGGCTTTTGTAATGGAGATGAGCATCGACCCCTAGAGCTGGAAACCAGTAGCCCATATGTGTGAGGGGTACCTTTACCTTTACCTTATTGCTTCACAGTGCTTTACAGTCCTCTGTCTAAGGGGTTTACAGAGTCAGTCTATTGCCCTCAACAATCTGGGTCCTTATTTTACCCACCTCGGAAGGAGGGAGCCAGTCAGAATCAAACCTTGAGCCAGTCAGAATCAAACTGCCGAACTGCAGTCAGCCGGCAGTTCAGCAGAAGTAACCTGCTGTAAATGCATTCTAACCACTGTGCCACCGCAGCTCTTAAATGGTTGTAAGTCGAGGGCTAACTATTTAAAACATTTAAACATAGCTGTGCCCATTTTTCAATCAATCAAAAAGTTCACACCGCCTTTAAAAGTAATCGTGAGGTATGGCTCGTCACTACGGGACCCAAGAAACCACTCTTAGTTGCACCCCCCCTGAAAATCCATCTGCAGGCACCCGAGATTGGGAACCCCTGTTTTCAGGTTCTGGACCTTACACCTTTCCTCCTCCCCCTTCTTCTCCAAGCCATCCTTTGACTTCCCCTGCCAGCTCACTTGTAATGCGCCAGCTGCAGCACGACTTGCACGACCGAGTCAGGCCTCAAGTTTTGGCTTTTGAGAAAATCCTTTCCAAAGCTGTCGTGGGTGAAACAACGGATGTCCAGGTCGCTGATGAGGCTGAGAGAGAAACAAAGAGGGAGAGACTCAGTGCTCAGGTAGATGCCATGCCAGAGGTAGAGAAACGATCCTCTCCTGAAGGCCCCCCCCTTTTTTTTAATAAAAAGGTTTTTTTTACACAACTCTTCAAGCGGGCAACATGTTTCCGGATTATAACACTTGTACATAGTCATACTTTCATTTCCATTTTTCTTATTTAATATCATCTCATATCATTAGCCATTTCACTCATCTTTAAATAAATTTGCATTTCATATTTCAATTCATTAATTCATATCAATCTCACTTCATCGACACGTAAGTTTTCAATTCTTTATCCCCTATTATTTCCATTTTCAGCTTACCACCTATTTTATTTTAGATTTACATATCATTATTATCCTTAATTTTTTTCTAAGTCGGTATATAATAAACAATCTAAAAAGAGTAAAAATAAAATAAAGCTAATAGATTTAGAATCCACACGGTGTTTTTCATTCCCCTACTTTAATCATAATAAAATACTCTCATGATACACTTCTAATGTCCATTAAATAATCAACTGTATGTTTTGAAATGTATATATTTAAAGTATTCCCCCCCACCCACCCAGTAAATCACTAAAATAACTTCTTAATATATCTCATTTTATTTGAAGGTCCTTGATGGGATACCTGTGGCGGCGTCTCCTAAGGCCAACCCTGCTCCCTTCCCAAAAAGACTTCTTACATTTGCTTGACATTACAGTATTTTGATTAAAAGTGACTGAAGAGAGAAGTATGCAGCCACAAAATAAACCACCATCAAACAAGGAAAACTAAAAGTAACACTTCGGGGAGATAGGATCCAAAGGAAAAGATCCAAAGTTTATGTTGGGAAAGGCGGAAGAAAAGAGAAGAAAATGGCCAGCAAGATGGATGGACTCTGTTGTTAAGAGTGGCAATAGAGCAGGGATGTCAAATACAAGGCCCGTAGGCCGGATTTAGCCCACAATGTAGTCGGATACTGCCCGCAGGGCTGTCCTGGAAAATGCAAGGGGCCAGCCTGCTTAGGCCAAGTCTACCCAATGTGAAGAGGAAACATGGCAGCAGTTTGGGGAGTGGCATAAAGCTGGACACGCCCACCCAGTCAGCCACACCCACCCAGTTGGCCAGGGTCCATCTCCTCCCCCCCTCCGGATCAACCACAGCCCTGCTGCGGCCCTCAATGACATTGACTTTGATACCCCTGCAATAGAGGTACTAGCGGAAGAGCTGAAGGACCTGACCGTGAGCAGTTCATTATGAAAAAAAAAATCCCTATCTATATGATTGATAAGGTGACTTAATGGCGCATAATCAATCAAGACAAAAAAAATAAAAATAAAAGTTCCAGAACAGAGCAAGAAACAAAAGAACCAGGTAGCCCTCGACCACAACTGAGCCTAAATTTTCCGTTGCTGAGTGAAACATTTGTTAAGTGAATTTTGCTTGACCTTTCATTGCCACAATTGTTAACCACTGTAGTTGTTCAAGTGAATCTGGCTTCCCCATTGGTTTTGCTTTTCAGAAGGTCGTAAAAGGGAATCACGTCATCCCGGGACACTGCAATGGTCATAAATATGAGTCAGCTGCCAAGCACCTGAATTTTGATCACGTGACCATGGGAATGCTGCAACGGTCATTAAGTGTAAAAAAGTGTTGTGGTTAGCCGGCTGCAGGTGCGGACGGCTGAGGAGAACGAGGACTCAGATGAGGGCCAGGACCATTAGGGAGAGGACTGTTGCCTTCAGAGATTGTGGGGGCTGGCAGCAACGATGAGGAGGTTCCCGAGGAGCCTGTACCAAGTGCGCGCACACGCAGGGCTGCTCGCTGGAAAGAGCAGTTGCAGCAGCACGGGCGACTCGGCAGTAAGGCTGCAAGGTAATGGCCCCTCCTTCAAAAAGATAAAAGCCAGCTGTGAAGCGAACGTTCTTTGTAGGAAGCAAAGACGTTTTGAAACTCAGCCTCATGGGCATTGCGGTATCTTAAGTTGGTATTTGAAGACTCTTGTGTTGTAAAATATTTCTTATCTGTTATTCTTATCTGCACAGTTTTGGTGAGGCTTGTGCTTATGAAAGTTAATTAGTTTGCAGCAGCCTTTTAACCAGGGATTCGTAAGAATCATTAAAAGGTTTCTGTTCCCTTTGGTTCGTGTTTGTTTTATTGGAAAAGCGTTTGGATCAGAACAAAAAGAATAACTTTTTTCAGTAGCGTTGTAACCTTCAATGGCACTAAATGAACTGTTGTTAAATTGAGGACTACCTGTGTTTTTCACCCCTTCAGTCGGGCTGACAAGGCGTGTTACCAAAACAGGCCATCCCGGAGCCCACGCCCTGCTTACTCACACATCCAGATTCTGCTTTGCACGCTCAAGGTCACGCTTGACTTCTGGAGTGATGGAAAAATAAAGTTTTTGGGGCAATTGTAGAGGAATCATCGGGCTGCGGGTCATGGCTGGATCTTTGCTGAGGGAAAAGAAAGGGAGGAAAGATGCACTACATTTACATGTTTTAATGTTTTTATTTTTAGTCATGACTTTTTTTTCATTTTTCTAAGTTTTTATACATCGGCTGCTTTCGCTGATTGTTGCACAACACCCAGAGTCGCTTCTCACGTTAGGCGGCCATATAAATGTGATTAACAAAACTAAAACAAACAGGCACCTAATTAAAATTCTCCCCCAAAAGGTGCTTTTTTCAAGAGGCCTTTCTGATTTTTCTTTGAAGATGTTTCGCTTCTTCTGAAACCAAAGAAGCTTTTTGGATGAAGAAGCAAAACGTCTTCAAAAGAAAAAACAAACAAGCAAGAAAGTCCAGTTGCCTCCCGAAAAAGCACCTTTGGGACAACCATGACCTGAATGACGGAGAATCTCCACAGACATTTATCTTAATTAAAATATACTCTTGTGTTTGAAGTCTGTGGAGATTCTCCGTCCTTCAGGTCATGGTTGTCCCAAAGGTGCTTTTTCAGGAGGCAACTGGACTTTCTTGCTTGTTTGTTTTGCTTCTCATCCAAGAAGCTTCTTTGGGACTACTCTTGTGTTATATCAAAACAACCATCCCTCTAGCCAGGTTCATATCCTTGAACTAAGCCCTAAAGTGATTCATTTCATTCTTCCATGCAATAATAGAATAGAATAGAATAGAATAGAATAGAATAGAATAGAACAGGAATAGAACAGGAATAGAACAGGAATAGGAATAGGAATAGAATTATTTATTGGCCAAGTGTGACTGGAAACACAAGGAATTTGTCTTCGGTGCATATGCTCTCAGAGTACATAAAAGAAAGATACATTCGTGACTTCCGGTTTGTCGGCTTCGCGAGCGGCAGGGATTTGCGAAGCTGCGCGATCCCTGCCGCGCTAGCCGTTTTTGGGGCTCCGACCCAGCCGGGTACGGAGCTAGGCTGCCCTGCAGGGGCAGCTGAAGGTAGGGGGGGATCCGGAGAAGGGTTTGGGGGTGCTGCAGACTCCCTCCCTGGCCGGCAGAACTCCCTTTTCCCAGGACGGTGCAGCGGCGGTCTGTAATGGCCGCCACAAAGAAGCTGGCAGCTGGGTAAGAATGCGCAGGAGGAAGTGGAGAAAGTGATTGAGAGGAGAAAGTTTTTCTTGGCTCCTAGGACTCTAACACATATCTAATAAAATTCCTGAAAAGTATGACTTTCTGAATAATACCTGCCAGAAGAGGAAAAAAGCGGCTGTTTGAAGGTGCTGAAAGGATAGCTTTCCCTCTTTTCCTACGGAATAAATAACTGGATATTAAGAAACCTATTTCTTTTAGGTGAAAATTGGTTTTAAGCGATGAGTGGGAAGAGAGAGGATTAAAAAGAAAACATTTGTATGCTAAGACTTTGTTGGAGCAGATGCCTTAAGGATTTGAAGACTAGAATATATTGCAATAAGATTTTAAACAGATTTGGACTTTCTTTCTCTTGGATTGATATTACCCCAGAAGGAGAAAGTGAGAACTCTGCCTTGGTTTGGACTGACTGAAAACTTTGGGACTGTTTTATTTTTTTTATTTTCTTTTGAATATTCTGGTTGTTGTAAGAAGAAAGAAGGGGAAAAGAAAAGAAAAGATTTATAATGGCTCTTTCTGTTGAGGAACTAAGAAAAGAATATGAACAAGCAAAAAAAAATGGTAAAGATGGTGTGGAAGAAGCTTTCCTTTTCTTAGAAATGGCGCTTATTAATTATCAACAAACATTACAACAGATGAAGACAGCAGAGGAACAAGAAAGAAAGAAAGGAGCCATTTTTAATGAATCTCAGAACTTGATCCAGAAAGAAGGAAGAGAGAAAGAAAAGAAAAGAAGAGAAAAGAAGAAAATTAAAGGACTTAAGGACTTAAGATCTAAAAAAACATTTAAGAAAGGGAAAAATAAGGTGCAAAACCAATATGATGATAGTAAACAAAAGGGAAAAGGAATACGACAGAGAAGGGAAGCTGGCAAGGCAGAGGCTAGAAGAAGGGGGGGTAGAAAGGTTTGTTGGGAGAAGAAAGAAAGGGAAAAGGTGGAGAAAAGCTACAATGTTTTGAAATTAAATGAAAAAAAGAAATTTTTTTTGGATAATGGATAAAGTATAAAATTTTTTTAAAAAAAAAGATTTTGCAAGGTACATAAGATGAGATGGTAGTATTGTAATGATTTAAGAGTTGATAAGAGATTAAAATGTTAAAATGTTTAAAAATGATTGGCTTTAAAACCTAATAATAGGGGAGGTTTAGAATATTGTTTTAATTAAAGAGTTTAATAAGACTATGGTACTGATGTTATTATAAAATTTTTATTATAGTATCTTTTTTTAATATTTGGATTTATTGTCTAATTATGTACTTAATTATGTTGGATGTATTAGTTAGATAGAATGTACCAAGCAAAATCGGATTGGGTATTAGATATTATTTTAAAGATTAATTTGATTAACTTAGGGGGGAGATAGAAAGGCATCATACTCTGATTAATGATTTCAGGAGAAACTTATTTTCTTTTTTTTTATAAGGAATGAGACAAAGGGATGATAAAAAATGGACAAAAGATATAAATATAATGATTCAAATTAAGATGATTAATTAAGATAGAAGTAAGAAGTGTGAAATATGTGGGGAAGTTAATATAGAAGGCTTAGAATGGTAAATAAAATAAGTAATGATATGTAAGATGAGCATGAATATAATTGAAGTCCATGAAGAGAGAGATACCTGGGTCCAAGTTACTTTCCAAAAAGATTTTTTTTTATGTTTTGTGTGTTGTGTGTATATGTCTTTTTGGGGGGAGAATTAGTTAAAAATTGTAGAAATATAGATTGAGAATAATGGTAACTAAGTCAGAAAGAAACAGATGAAATAATAATAATGATATTGAATAAGAGTAAAGAGAAGTAAAGAGAAATTGAATAAGAGGTTTTGGTATGTTGTATGGAAATGGTTCAAAACAGAATTATAATTTATCTGACTTGTTAAATTGACAATGAAAAAAGGTTTAAACATGTAATGAATAATGACAATTTGTGTGTTTTAAAAATTAATAAAACTTGTTTTTTTTTTAAAAAAAAAAGAAAGATACATTCGTCAAGAGTCAAGAATCGTGAGGTACAACACTTAATAATAGTCATAGGGTACAATAAGCAATCAAATCATATTAGGAGTCAATATAAATCATAAAGATACAAGCGACAAAATTATAGTCCTACAATCACAAGTGGGAGAGGGGATGGGTGATAAGGAGTGATGAGGAGATGAACAGTAATAGTGCTTTGTAAATAGTTGGACAGTGTTGAGGGAATTATTTGTTTAGCAGAGTGATGGCGTTTGGGAAAAAACTGTTCTTGTGTCTAGTTGTTCTGGTGAAACTTTTTGACAGTGAGAACAATCAACCAATGGAACAGCTTGCCCTCGGAAGTTGTGGGAGCGCCATCAGTTGAGACTTTCAAGAAGAGATTCGACTGCCATTTGTCAGAAATGGTGTAGGGTCTCCCGCTTGGGTGGAGGGTTGGACTAGATGACCTACAAGGTCCATTCCAACTCTGATTATCTGTATCTGATGTGCAGTGCTCCATAGTGTCACTTTGAGGGAAGGAGTTGAAACAGTTTATGTCTGGGATGTGAGGGGTCTGTAAATATTTTCACAGCCCTTTTTGACACGTGCTGTATATACAGGTCCTCAATGGAAGGCAGGTTGGTAGTAACTGTTTTTTCTGCAGTCCTAATTATCCTCTGAAGTCTCTGTCTTGTTGGGTTGCAGAACTAAACCAGACAGTTACAGAGGTGCAGATGACACATTCAATAATTCCTCTGTAATTAATTATGAGGGGAGCTTAGCATCTTGTCACTGGCTATTTAGTTCAGGGCTGCATCTCAAGGACTATGGTTTCTTGAACACATTTTTGCAACACAGATTCAAAATCCGCCCACGGGAGTCAAGTCAGGCTATCTATCCCCACAGCTTCATCACAACTCCCCCCAATAGGGAACATTACCAATAATCAAGGACGTAGTCGATGACTGTGGCAATCAGTGGCCCCTCAGCGATCGCTTGTTCGTAAAGGACCCCACAGGTGCCATCTTCTCCAATAATGAACTGAAGGCCAGGGACAAAGAACGAATGGAAAGAAGGAAGGGAAATGGTTTGTTAGGCACGGAAAAAGATAAAATTAAAAAGCTGGTTTCAACTAGAGCAGGGTCCCCAACCCACAGGCTGAGGCCTACTACCAGGCCATGGCTGGTTTGAAAGTGGATTGCACAAATGAAGGGCTGGCGCATGCACAGCTCTACTTACACAAGTGGCGGGCCGGTGCACATCCATGCAGCTCTACTTACACGAATGGCGGACCGGCACTTGCACACCCCCGCCCCCTGCTTACAAGGGCCAACCCCCCCCCCCCCCCCGCGGCCAGGCTGCCAAGCCATAAAGGTTGGGGACCCCCTGAAGTAGAGGATTCTCTCATCTTTTTTTTATTTTGGATGATGAAAAAGCAGAATAAAATAACATGTATTCCCAAATATTTTTTTAAAAAAATCAATATATCACACTGCATATACTGGGCAGAATTGTTTTTGAACAGCTATAGAAAGAAACCAATATCCCTACAGAAGAGATGGTGATTAAAAAAAGTGCTTGAATGTGCAGAGATGGATAAATTAATGATGGAGTTAAAAGACAAGGAGGAAACAGAATATTATAAGATTTGGGACATATGGTATGAGTGGCTAGAGGAGAAAAGTAAAGAATATGTATAAAAATTACTTAAGAGTTGCAGGAAATGTATATATGAGGAATTATAAAAAGGTAAATATAAATGTAAAAATATTAGAGAAATATACCTGGAATTGAAAATGAAAGTATTACTATGTAAATAGGAAAAAAGCTGACTCCGAAGCACTATCACAAATGGAAATGTGGTGTAAATGTTTGAAAAATGTGTAATAAAGATAATTTAAAAAAAAAATAAATTAAATTTTTCCTTATTTGTTAGTGGCTGACTGCTTATCAGCCCAAGTTATTATTTGTTAGGTAGCCATATAGGTTTCTTAAATCATTATTGTTTTTTTTTTTAAATAGAGATCGGCACACAGGCCAAATCTCATTCTGTTCATATCAAGAGAAAGGGACAAAACTCTGAATGCTTAAATTTTAATCTAGGATTTGGCCTACGGAAGCCATCCCATCTTTTAAAAAAAATAATAATTCTAAAAATGTTCAAAATGCTTACGATGTAACCGAAATTTAGAAGCTTTTAGAAATCTTCCTTCTTAAATCTCATGTGAAATGACACAATATTGATTACCCTGACTTAATTACATAAAACATAGAGTTGGAAGGGACCTTGGAGGTCTTCTAGTCCAACCCTCTGCTCAAGCAGGAGAACTATATTATTTCAGACAAATAAAAGCCTTCAGTGATGGAGCACCCACAACTCCTGAAGGCAAATTCTTCCATTGGTTAATTGCTCTCTCCAATAGGAAATTTCTCCTGAGTTCTAGGTTGCTTCTCTCCTTCGTTAGTTTCCAATCCTTGTTTCTTGCTTTGCCTTCTGGGGCTTTGGAAAATAGTTTGACCCCATCATCTTTGTTAGGAGCCCCTCAAATATTGGAACATCGCTACCATGTCCCTCCAATGCGTCTTTCCATTAGACTAGACATACCCAATTCCTCTGTTTTTTGTACATTTTAGCCTCCAGCCCCTTAATCAGTTTTCTCTGCACGCTTTCCAGAGTCTCAACATCTTTTTTTGTATTGCAGTAATCAGAGTGTGGTCTTACTAAGGCTTTGTAGAACTTACTAGAACTTCACGAGATCTTGATTCTATCCCACTATTGATGCAGCCTAGGATTGCATTGGCTTTTTTGGCTGCTGCCGCACACTGCTGGCTCCTATTTAAGTGATTGTCCGCTAAGACTCCAAGATCCTTTCCAGAGTTACTGGCACGGAGTCCAGTTTCACCTATAGTTGTGTAGTTGGTTTTTCTTACCTAAGTGTACAACCTTACTTTTATCTATATCTTTATCTTTTTAATCTTACTGTCACAGCCTTCACGACGCCTTTCTTTCTCTCACATCTTTTTCGGTTGCCATAGTAACGGGGGGAGGGCAAGGGTGGGGATTCAGCCAGTTTGCACCAGTTCGGGAGAACCAGTTGTTAACTTTTTGAGCAGTTTGGTGAACTGGTTTGTTGGAAGAAATCATGAGGGCAGAGTGGTTGTTAAATTGTTTGAATCCCACCACTGGGGGGAGGGTGAAATTTTTGGGTGAGAAACGTGCTGGAGGTTTCAGAGAATGAACTGTATAACTTGGGGAAAACTTTATTGTTTATGCTTGCTTGCTTGCTTACTGCAGCTCTTTATCAAACCAGGCCAAGGTCAATGGCCAGATGTCTGTATCACCACCTGAAGATGCCCCACATGACATTATACCCTGTTTCTCCAACAATACGGCCTCCCCCAATAGGAAGTCCCAGCATGTTTTATAGGCATGAAATGAAATTAAGCCCCTCCCCCCCAAATTAAGGCCTATATTAAAACATGAGAAATTGGGGGGGGGGGAATGGCGGGGGGGCTTGCCGTTAGGAAGTACTTTTGTTGCACCCCCAGATATGGTGCTGCCTGCGTTGACCCTGATAAAAAGTGCCCCACCAACGCCGAGGCCAACATCCAAGCCGTCGCCTCCCGCCTGCCCGAAGATGCAAGGGGGGGGAAAGTTAAGTCACCCCCGAAAAGACGGCCTAGTCATATTTTCGGGGCTGAAAAAAAAATAAGACCGGGCCTTATTATATGAGAAACATGGTACATATCTTCGATTGGATGGACCGTTTGAACTACTGTGGGTGGGAACACTGCCATCACTTTGTGTATGTGTTTTTCGCGCGTAAATCCTCAGATCTAGAATTCTTTTGATGCTAACCACTTGATTTCCAGCAAAGGTAATTCTTTTCTCTGTAACAATGGAGTCTAAGAGTGCCTTTCTTGGATTTTGAATGGAGTGCCATCTGACGCTTAACTTTTATTTATCATCGAGCAACTGAGGATCCCATGTCTTTACGCTTCCATACTGAAGCCTAATTTACATCCTGCTTTGACGCTCACCTGCAGAGTCTTGTCAAACCACCGATTGCCGCTGTTGGAGTAGCTCCCTCCACCGTGCAGCATCTGAGCTGCCAAACGGCTTTGGACGTGAGCATCGGACACCTTCAGGATAGGAGCATCCAGACAGACGGTGAAGAGGCTACGTTGGATCGTCAGAGCTGATTCCTGGTTCAGTTTGTCTGGAACAAGAAATGCCAGATTTAGTTCCCGGTATGGTTGTACAGGAAAAAAAAAAAAATCAAAATTCCCAATATGGTAGCACAGGACAAAATCAAATTAATTCTCTGGAGGGAGAAAAGCAGTCAGAAAAGGCGGTGCAACCTTACAAATTTTTTTTAATCTGACTTCTTTCCTTTTTTCATTTACATATAGTTAAAATTAAAGTAAACTGAACGTATATTTAACAAGCTCGATACCCATGCTTCACTACAAAACTATGTGGTTGGGCTTAGTTTTTGGGGAGGAAAATAAGGGGGGAAAATTGTGCCTCTGCCTACTAGCGTCCATCGGTATTCATCTGGCTAGTGTTCCGTTAGTGAGAGTTCAGGTCTGTTTGGAAAGTGAAACAGTATTTGCTGTGTGAGCAAGAAGGAGACAGCAAGGAGCCTGGGTGTGGCTTAGCTCAACTGTTCTGTAATAAAGCTGCTTGGTGCTGTGAAACTAGAACTGAAAATCCTCTCCTCCTCTGCTTGTGTTTTGCATTTGGTACAGATTTCTTTTCAGATAGGGAGGCGGAGTAGAACTCCTTAGCAACAGAGCATATTAATAATAATATACGAAATACTAATGCTCTAATGGTCATTTCAAAAAATCCTTTCTTAGTGAGCACCTAGAAGGCAGGAGGAACATATGTGCTAAATTTCAAGTTTATAGGTGTTACGGTTCTGGAGATTTTGTGATGATGCGTGAGTGGTGTTTCGCTTTTATATGTAGATATAGATAGATATAGATAGAAGATATACCGTATTTATCGGCGTAAAACACGCACAGGCGTATAACACGCATCTTCATTTTAAGAGGGAAATTTCAGGAAAAAAATTTAAATTTCTAAATAAAAACTTTGAAGCA